CCAAGTGAAGATGTTATTTCAAAAATTCTCAAAGACTTCACTTCTGTCTGTTTCTGAAAAAGTAGATTTGTATCTGATGAACTCCGTTCTCAATAGCGGGTGACAACTGAACACTCAATTTAATATCAAGGATCATGTTTAAATATTTTTTTGTCATAGTAAACGTTGACTTCAGTTTGGGTTTCCTGTGGGTGGGAACTTATATTCTTAGTCCATAATTGTACAGGGAAAGTCTGATCCCTGTTGATTCAGTGACTGACAAATCACTTTAACACCAGTAGCCAGTATGATCTGTCTGCAACACTGGGGTAAGCTGTGCTTTAGAGACTACTCTAGACAGGTCCTGAGTGACCTGACTGAACTTCCAAGCAAGCCCTGCTTTGAGCAGGGGGTTGGTCCAGTAGACGTGCAGAAATCCCTACTAACATCAATTACTCAACAATTCTGTTACTTTAAGCCAAATGTCCCTCTTCCAGCCAGGGTCAAGCCCAGTTTTTTTTTTGTTAGAGTGAGTAACTGCTCAGCATCTGTGCAGTGGAGAAGAAAGAACAATGCACCAAAAAGACAATACCTTTCTTGCAGTTATCACACTTGCATGCTACGGCACCTTTCCGCCTCATTTCAGGAACAATAAATGTTGTTACAAAAGTAGTCTACTATTTTTTCCTTACCCCCAACCAGCACGTCAACACCATATTTAATTTACATTGCCCTGAACATAACATTTCATCTTGATGAGTTCTTCTCCCTCAAATGTTCTCTTTATGGGAGAAATGATTTTGAACCATTCCCATTTTCTCTCCGTGACTGCTGGCTGTCAGTGTCTGTTGTAGCTTAAATGGTGTGGGACAAAGTAAATTTAAATTCAACCCAGCAAATGGCTGTCATCAACACATTACAGCCTCAAAGTCATTTAGAGGTTTCAGAGCAGCATAAGAACAGCAAACAATGTTCAGAATGGGAATCAAGAAGGATCCAAGTTAAAAACAGCACTAGTTTTGTGAAGCCATTAAATGTGTCCATACATAGGTCACCCCATCTTCATGTGCATCAGCTTTGCTAACAGAGGAAAGGTGTTTTAAATGTGTTATGGACCAGAATGCTCAATTTCAACACACTGTCTGTCAGCTATCCACCTATATTGCATACTGATTGCATTCTGCAGGTAATGTGTTAAGCTCAGTGGGGTTACTTTCGATTTAAACCTGCAGAAGACCATGAATACTTTAGAGATCCCAGCAATTTATCAATTCACACTTTTCTTTTTTTTGGAAGAGGAACACTACTTGTGTGATTCATCTACACAACACAGGCACAACATCAGATGCCATTGTTCTGTGCAGCAGTGTAAATGTACTACAAGCAAATAATTTTAACACATCAGTTGCACAGACTGAGGAAGATGGGAGAGTTCATGTTAAACAAGATTGCTTTTTAATCTGGAATGATTCATGTAGTGTCCAAAACAGCTTGAAACAATTTAACAGTGACTTTTTTCCCCTTGACATAAGGCAAAAGGTGCCCAAATTAAAAATTCTGAATGAACTTAAAAAGCCTATTTAATGCAGACAATTCCTGTCAAAGTCTTCCAGGGCCTTCAATGTCTCCTGTGTGTATGAGTTAGAGTAACCTTGCCCCTGGTTACTGTGCCTCCAATGTAACTTTTCAACATTGCTTTGACTTCACTGTGGTGAAATGAATGTGCTTACGTTAAATGCAGAAAGCAATTAATCCCTAGCCAGGTCAGTAGAGCACTGCTGTAAGCCATCCAGTTTTACTTAAGGGACCCTCCATGACAGCTTTTCGACTGAAATAATGAATCTGGGCATGGAACTGACAGTACATGCAATCAGGGAATGGTTCTGCATCTGGGTAATGCTGCAGGTTATATTGGAGCCTCAGCTCTGCAGATTTAACAGCAGACATGCTATTTGGGCACGCATTTCTTATCCCAGCCATGGAATCTGTCATGGGGCACATACAGCGTATACAGGTATGGACATGCGCTGGGGCTCTCCTAAATTGAGTTTGGCAGACTTTAAAGTTCTCTTCTGAGCTATGTTTAGAAACTGTGCATCCAATAGGAACTCCTTTCTCATCTATTCGCTGCTGTCATCCCTTTTGAGATATATTAGGTCTATAACATCTACTGACTAAATGCATGGAGGTATGGTGCTTTCATGTTTTTTGTTTTTTTTAGCAAACTTAATCTTCAGACAGGAAACTACAACTGCCTGTCATAGCCACAAACAAGAACTACTCCTGAAGTTTGGTCCATTCATCCCATTAGAGAACTAAGGGGTCTTTGAGATAACAGCTTTTAACTTTGAATTTTAAGTTAACGTAGCTTCTTAAGTAGGACACTTCTGCATCTCCTTGTTAGTTTTGTTTTGTTTTGTTTGTTTTTGTCAATACTACTGCTCATGTACTAACGATACAAAAGGTTTCACAGCCAGCTGAAGTCCATCACTGATCCATACTTTACCTGAGTGTCATGGCTCCACTTTCAGTGAGAAGCACTGAGAGCAATGTGAAGAGACCGATGGGAACATCTTCAAGCCCTTTCCCAGTAGTGGTTCTGATGCTTCTGGCTGTGAGTCCACTCCTCTCACATTACACTTTCCCCTTCCCCGTGACTTGAGCTGTTTCCTGTGCTCAGATATGAATAACAGTACTGATGGTTTTGGTTGAAACTACTGCAGTTTACAAATATATTTTGCACAAACAAATAAACAGTATTTTGTTTAGTTAATTAACTGCATTTGAGGGCCACCTTTACATCTTTTTAGAGGCTGTCACACATACAGCCTCTTCATACCTTTAGATGTATGCTCACATAGAGCAGCCTGGAGCTCCTTACTATACTTTTTTTTTTTTTTTTTTTTTCCTAGCAAGACAGGTAAAAACTGCTGGGAAAGTCTGTGCATGCCAGAGGAGAGTGCTGGGCATGTTCCCTGCCCCGCATGCTCGGACTGGCAGAGCGCTGTCAGTCATCACCCCATGTCTCAGAACGTAAACCTGCAAAATGAGCATGCACAGGCTCTGATTCTCACTTCAAGCTGGGGTTGAGTGCTCACATAAACTGGAGCAGTTCTGCAGCAAATCCTCTGCTTGATGTACCCAAGAAACTCTCCTCTTCCCCTCTCTTCTACTGTCTGTGATCTTTTCTTTAGAGAATAATAAACAAGAATGTGCCAGCAGGCTGCTCTTACATGGTTCAGGCACGTTGCTTAGCCTGGTGCCTCAGGTACCTGAGAAGGGTGCCAAACCCTTACTAATGTTCATCTCAGATTAGGCGCTGTTAGCATAAAATAGCTGATTAAAGCTATACCTCATTCCTTTCTCATTCAACATTTCCTTCCCTGAGGAAAGGAGTCTGTACTGATATACAACTCAATAGGCAAAAAGTTGCTATTCTTTCCCTTTGCTAACTTAAAATATTTAGTTCGTTTTTCTTCTCTCATTTTTCTTTTCCTTCAAGCTTCCACCACTGTATGGAGCCCCACATGTTTAGCTCTTATCTACTTCCACAGGGATCCAGATATCCTTCTAACAGCGTTTGGAGTATTAACAGCTCACAGCAGAGCAGAGGGGGATTTAACACAGCAAGCAGGTCAGGATGAAAGTCTGTGAAAAGTTAGCTTGTTGTATGTTCTTGAACTGTCACTAGTCTGTCTTTCTGCCTTCTTTTCTCTTGCTTATAAAAAAGATGACAATATGCTAGGTGCCCATTCAGTTTCTTTTCTTTTTTCACTTATAAGGAAAATTGTTTCTCAGACCACTGATGCCCAAGATCAAAATGCCAAGCTCAGAGCTGACAGAAGCCAATACAAAAATTCCCAGGCCAAATTCAAAGTGTTTAATTCATTCCCTGAGTCTACTGCATGGATGACAGACATGGAAAGGTTCTGTTTGTCCTTTGTTGGAAGTGTGGCCTTGGTGCAAAGGACTTATTTACCCTGTATTTGGTTTCATTTTCCTTCACTGCTGGGGAAGACGTTAGACCAGGCTAACACTGTGTCTAATATGCTAGCTCACCACGGTGACAGGCAGCAAAAACAGCAAGGGGTTTCTCAAACCCAAACGGCAGCAGAGTACACTGAAGACCTCAGGGCTTCCTGTGGCCCTTCCACTGTCTTGTGCACTGAAAGGAGGGTCATTTTTTCCTGGGGAAGGGGGGAACCAGGTAGGGATGTGGTCTTAAAGCAAGCTTGTTTGAACTTTGAGCAGAGCCTTAGCCCTTCATGTAGAAGAAACAGCAACTGTAGGCTTTGTCAGAGCAACTTTTGCTAGAGCTGGGGAAAGCCCTGCAGCAGTGAGCACTGCTACCTCCAGGCTGGCATTTCCTCCTGTCCAGGGAGGGCCAAGGGCATCCAGCTGAGCCTGGCCTGGCCTGTGGTGCACCACCTGCAAAACAAAAATAAACCAGTGGTGTTTCAGGCTGGGTCTCTATGAGAAGTCCCATTTCTTACAGCTGACATGGAATATGGAGCTTCTGCTTTTCTCAGGTAGCACATACCCTTGAACAAGAAGGGGAGGGTTGCAAGATGGGGTGTTAGCAGAAAGTGTATCTGAACTTGCGTTGAGAAGACAAAAGTGACAGCACCTCCTGCCCTGTGACCACCAACACCACCTAGGCAGATAGGTAGGACACTCAGTGTCCAGTAGGCTTCTTAGCTCTTTCTAGTCCAACCAGCACCTGGGAATCACTTTAGCTCTTACCCTCCTTCCTCTTAAAGAAATGACCTTGATAAGACAGAGGAAGTGCAAGCTTCATGCTTGCTACTGAAGGGCTGCAGCTGAGGGTGGTCCAGAGGGCACGCTGCACATGTTTCAGGGAGAGAATGAAGGATTTATTTTCTTCTGTCTCTAGCCTAGAAGTTTCACAACCAATAAATTAAGTGAATACTTCCAAAAATGAAAAATAAAAATCTCTGGCCCACGGAGCTCTGAAAAAGAATCACATAATCTTTCAAATGATTTTTTTCAATAGTAATTTATTCAAATAGCAGCCAGTAAAAATGCAAAGCTGGATTGTTTTGAGTGGTAGGAAAGTTTTAGCTTAGAATAACATTAAACAATCAAAACAGAGCAAAAGATAAATATCTGGAGTGCAATTATATTTTGCCAAATGCAGACATGGACTTATATATACATATTATATATTTTGTATTTGGCAAGATATATAATATATATTATATATAACATATATATGACACCTATAGCAGTCTGGAATTCTATGATCCTGTAATATTAATCACAGAGTCATGCTTGCTCTGTGAAGAATGAGGAACAAAGACAGGAAGTAACAGAGTTAAATTATAGTAGGAGAGATTATACATAAGTCTAAAGTTTGTTGCGTGCCTTTTCATTGCTGTTTGTAGGGTCTTTGTTATGCAGTCTTCCAAAATGTTTTTTATCTGACACTTGTTTTACCAGCATTACTAAGGTTCAAAGCAAGTTACTTGACACAATGAATTGGGTGTTCAGATTTGATTATAAAATTTGATTATAAAATTGTTCCTTCACTCTTAAGCATCATCTTACTATGTTTATATTTTTGTGTTATATACTGAGAGCTTTCACTTTTAAATACACTCAGATGTTACTTCCAAAATAAACATCCATTTTCCCAGAAAGTGTTTGTCATCTAGATGCATTTTTTGACAATTATTTCCATAAAGTACTATTTTTTTTTTCTATACAAATGCTTCATGCATGCTACTAACTTGGTTGACACAGGCTGTCACATTACTACTGAGTGTTTACTTACTACTGAGCTGAGCTGAATTAGAAGCTGTAAGCTAGAGGTAAAAGCTTTCTTTCCAGTCACCTCTCTGTCTTCCAGAAGACAGACAAAAAGAACAGAATTATTCAGAGTGGACCAGAAGACTTTTTTATTAAAAACATCTCTCAGGAAATGTGGAGGTGACACCATCCTTCCTGTAAGAACACATCCTGACATTTCCATAAACTCTTATAAAGAAGTGGAAATGAATGGAAATGAGGAATAAGTGAGGAACATGTTGACAGGTGAAAGCATTAAGTACAGCTACACAGGCTTTGCTATGTTGGCCCATGGAAAGAGAAGGGCTGTGCCTCTTTTTCTTCTTTTTAGCCTGTAGACATTTACCACCCTTTGGTCGGATTTCAGCTCTCTGCCTTACATGGGTGGAACTTCATTGGCTTCAGTTAAATTATTACTGGTTTAGATATTGTTATGCTTTTGGTGACCCTCCAAATTCAGTTCAAGCCATCAAGTTTTATATGGCTTCTACTCAAAACCATTAATTGGCATCTATTCAGTTGAAACTTGGTCAAAGCTTGACATCACCTTAGTACACATTTGTAAATTTGCAAAGCATGAGTGTTGGGTGATAGATAACCTCATCATTTCCATTACTTCCTATGGGTAGATGTATAACAAGCCAAATCTGTATATATGTCAAAAGAAATGGTTTAAGTGAATTTATATTTACTGCTATACGCATTTCTTCAGATAGTTCTATAGGTCTGTATATATTTTAAGGCATTCTGCTTATCTCCTGGGAGTACTTGTTGACCAAATACAGGTCAAAAGATACTTAGAAAGTAGTTTTTGTCTTTTGCAGTTTTTTTCCAGTGAACAATGTTCAACTATCTGGAGTTTACCAGCAACAATGACTCTAAACTCTATATTATTCGGACCTCAGAGCTCAACCGGGGGAGAAAACCTGATAGGAAAAAAAGAAAAAAAAAAGTGAAAAGTGAGAAGAGCTATTGTATCTGTTAACAAAATAGAGGTGAGATACCTGAAATGTACTTGAGCCTGCCTTCTTGATTTCTCTTTGACTGTTTGTGCTGCCATCAAAGATGATACATATTATTAACGCATGGCATAAAAAACAAACAAACAAACAAAAAAAAACAACAACAAAAAAAACCACAACGCCGTAAGAGAACAAAAACACTGCATATTTGGAAGATTACACCTTACTGTTTATTCAGTATGTTGCAACATTTTTCCACAATGACTTGGGAATTGGAAAGTTCATTAATTTCGTGGATTAATAACACTTCTCAGAGATTCTTTGATATTACTTTCAGGACTAGAGAAGGAAAAAAACTAGAATCCCAGAAGCATAAATGTTTATATTTGCAGTCACTATGGAATAAGAGAATTTCTGTAATGTAATATGAAGTGTATAGTATCAGACATTTAGAAAAAAATAGCATCTATTAATTTCACTTCTGCCTTGATTGAATATGGTCAACATTGTGTGTCAACTTGGATGAAAAAGCAAGAATTATACCTCCATGAATATTTTAGGCTCATTTCTGTACAAAATATCTTGGCTGCATGCTGGTGAGCTCCCTGTCCAATGTGCGTTATCTGTTGAATGCACAGACCATTTCTCTTCTCGTGACAGAATATCTGCCATAGATCTTAAGGCATAAATTGTTCTTGAAGGGTTTGGGGAAGAATAATGATTTCTGTTTCTCTGGTGGCTTCTTTCTCCCAGTGCTGCCACACAAGCAAACTTAGAGTTTTCTTACTGCAGTAGCCTGGGTTTTGCTCAACATCATTTTTGCTGAGTTTAGCACTTGCATGTTCTTCACAGAGGTAGCACCACTGATGGTACTGGGACCAGAGGACAGAGCTACCTGACTGTTGACAGCTGGCCAATGATGCCCAAGTACAGATTTGAGAGTGAATTGATATGCAAGCAGCAGCAGCTGCTGTGGAGGAACAGACCTCAGCAGAAGGATCTGCAGAAAGGTGCTGGAGGAGAAGTCCCAGCTGAGAAGGATGGTGAGGTTATAAGCAAGAAAGAAATCCTAATAAAGTCCAGAAAGATGAATCAAGGGGAGAGGATGTATGGGAGAGGTTATATGAAAGAGAAAAACCAAAAGCAAACAAAAGGTTGATGGGCACTCTTGAATAAGACAACAAGATCTTGAATGGCTGTCCAAGTGATGGGGCTGACTGACAGCTTTGGGGATACATTCAGGGGCTTCTATCACTGTAGATTGTAGCAGATTTATTTATTTATTTATTTATTGCCTGGCTACTTACTTGCTTATATATCTGTCTGTATGTTGCTATTTATTTCTTTATTTCTTTATTTATTTTTTTTTTTTTTTCTGTAGGCTGGTTTGAATACATCAGCCTTGTTTGAAGAGAAGGATTATCACAAGAGTTTCCCTGAAGCACTCCAGTTCTCCATTTGGTGCTAATAATCCATCCACACCACACAACCTTGTCAAATATTTCAGAAGTCTCTATCATTAATGTAGCAAAGTTAGCAAATCTTCAAAGAAAAACCTATTTTCCTTTTCTCTCCTCCTTTTTTCCAATGCTAACTTTAAAGATAGGACAAGAATTTTGCAAGTGGGGTTACAAACATAATATGAAACTTTAATCTGGAATATAGTATATGAAAATATATATATATAGGTCGAGACTGTTTTATCAAAGGAAGTATCCTTCTACCCTGTTTATTTTTACTTATAACTACAACCAAAGAGGATGAGGTGGTTAATTTTGAAAGCTTTAAATTATGGCCTAAGCCAAGCCTAACTCGTCAAAGAAAAGTTTTGTGCTTCTGCTAACCATTCTCCCATATAATTTAAAATTGCCAATAACTACAGGAACAATAAAAACTCAAGCCAAAGAGTTTTAAAAGGAGTATGTCATGGGCAGGTACACTAGGAGATGGTCTTACACCTCTGCTCTGTAATGCAAGGGATTTAAGTCTTGGTCTTCATCATTTCATACTAGCAGATATTTTTCAACAGCTGAGTCTGTTGGCATACAAAAGGCAAAAGAGTACACCAAACTTCAAGCTAGTAGCAGCCCCTAATGCAAGTCCTGTCTCTTTTATGGAGTTTTTGGTGCTTTGAAAATTTCTAATTTCTAATTTAGCCATGTCTAATGCTGGTCTGCTTTTATGTTAAACTAAATAAGGCTGTTCTGTTTTAACACAATTTCCTCCTGCTTAGTCATTTGTACCCACTATTAAACAATAATGTCAGTTTTGTATGACTGCCTTTCCCTGGGCTCATGGATAACCACATGGCTTTTGCACACTGTTTTAGTAACAAGAGATATGGCTGTAGGGAGCCTGGACATTTTACTCAGCATATATTAAGTTCAAATCCATTGTTTTTTTTCCCATGCTTAGCCAAATTCTTGGCTGTGTCAAACCTTGGCTTGTCAGTTGAGGAGTGTGTGCCCGGCATGCTGGGGAGTGCTGGGGGAAAGAGGGACAGCTGAGAAACATATGGCTTCAAACCACCTTTTTGCTTTCCTTATCCTCAAGAATAGCAAGGGCTGTAAGCTTAGAGCACCCCCCAGGGCTTCTTTAAATTGCATCCAGCTGCAGTAGGCCTCTAATGGGAATAGTCCATCACAGCGGTCAGCAATATCAACACCGCTCCAAGCCGCAGCTCCAAAATGCTTGGGCTGTCGGCTGGATTATGGCCATCCCCAGTGGCTCTAGGTATTATTATTTCTCCAAACACATGGCTGAATGTTGTGTTATTAAAAAAAAATATGTAAAGAGGGAGTACTACGAGCGCACCATATTAGTGAACCCTGCGAGGTGATGCAGAATGACAAACTAGCCCATCATCACAACGTTGTAAAGAGACCTCACTTCATGAAGGGATTTTAACGGTGTTTACAGCGCACTTTAGAATTTATTCTTAGTGGGGTCAATATTGCCTGAGTGATGTGTATGACAGAAAGCAGCAAGCAAAATCTATTGTCTGTTGTGTCAATATCAATTAATAATACAAGATTATTCAATTATTTTCAAAAATAAGTTAACATACAGGGAGCAGTCACACTTTAAACAGCTTACAGGCTTGATATAATAGCTTCTTAGTCCACTGTAAACATGGATGTTATTTTTGCTCATCTGTTGTAAAATGTACAGTAACAGACATAGGATAACTCAAGAAAGATACTAAATGCTAACTTAAACTGAACTAGAATAAATGGAAAAGGCTTAGGTTGTTGAAGCACCAGCAGCTAAATCTTGCACAGGATCTGAATTAAAGATGTTACAGTGTGAAAGGTCAAACTCATCCAACAGCTTCTCATAAGACTTGTTCTTTATGGAATATGAATTCTCGTATGGGAGTTTGGAACCCCTTTCCCTCTGCCACCTCCTTCCCCAAATCTTAGGAATATTAAGAAATGCACAAACCAAATGACTTACGTAGAAAGATGAATGAAGCCATTATAAAGAGATGATGGCCTGCAGATGGGGAACAGTCATCCTCGTTGCTGCTTCCTCCTCACCATAAAATCTAGGAATGAAATCATGATCACATTAAGGTCAAAGGGAATGTAGCCAAAGAAATGATGGGTCAGGATTTTCATAACTGCCCTCTGCATGCCAAAACTTGACAACATCTCTTGACAAACCCAGATAGATCTATGGACTTTTATTATTCCCAAGCTTGCAGAGGTTTCCAGAGCTCATGCATTTCTCTTCGCTGTCCTCATCTTTGAAGACATCAGTCCTTAACAAGCCCTGGGCCTGCCCCTGTAATCCTGTTCCCTGATTGTGTTCCTGTGTGGGATGACAGGTCACCCACCTTCCTATGTAGTGCGTGTCAAAGGGCAGAGCTAGCATGCCCTGAAGTAACAAGGGTTGGTTAAGTCCCAGCATTTTCCTACCTCACTTGCCTCAAAACTGGTCTAATTTTAAATTATTCTTCCTCAAAATTCATTACTCATCCACCAGACCTCTTGCTCACAAGATTTCTACCTCCCAAATCTTGGCTGAAGGCTATGTTGGAAGGCATATAGATGAGTGCAAGGACAGTTAAGAATTCAGCTCTGTAATGAATTATTTCACAACCATAGACTCTTTCCAACCAATGCTGAATTAAAATTCATTTGAAAACTACTTCTGATCATCAGAATATGCAAACTGATTAAAAGAAAACAACCCAATGACACACTGATTTAAATAGAGAATTCCCCTTGGGACAACAGAAAAAGAAATACAATACTATAATCAACAGTCCCTGAGGTAACACATGCTAATCCCAAGTGAGCGTTGGCTATAAATGTTACACATGGCTCTCACACAGCTTTCAGGATGTAGGGAGGAATACTGAGGCTGTAGTGTAGAGAGACTCCATGAGATTTCTTCTGCAGAAAGTAGCAGATTTCCTGTGAGAGTCTAAGCAACTTCGAGCAAGCTTCACCCAGATCTTGTGTATGTGTCAGGAGCTGTAGTGTGGATCTATCAGGCATCAGTCCTTCACTGCATTGTGAGATGCCGCAGAAGTTTTCTGCATACCCAGTATGCCTCATGTGGATGATCCCAAGGGCCCTCCTGCAATTGAAGTTTCCAGGATTGTGCAATAATTCACCTCATTAAGCTAGGAGTATAACCTCATGCCTCACATTTGCCAGAGGGAGAAAACTGCATCAGATATGGGAGGGAGAATGAGCACTGATGTTGCTTGTATATAAACAACATTGCTACATCATGTACAAAATAATTATGTGTCTGTCATTAAACACTGCTATTTCTGGGGAAAAATCACCAGACCCTGTGAAGAATCAGTCCCTGTTTCCTTAATCTAATAGGGTTTCACTGAAATGCTTTACAATATCAAGGAGTTTTGATAGCAGTGGAAAAAGAAGCACAGAAATGATCAGCACAGTGGAAAGAAAATCTGATAAACAATCTTTCAGAGTTGTGTCTGACCCTCCAGATAGCTTTCCATCCTTGCTGTGCCTGGTGTGAAAGGTGAACGTCAAACTGGGCATCCTGTCTTAGATAAAAGCCTGCTTTAATCACCAGGGGACTGGTTTACTGATCTTCTAGCTCTCTTTCTACCTCTCTCATATTTTTTCACAAGATGCTTTTGAAAGACAAAGTAGGAGAATATATGAAATTCTGAAAAAAAAATCCAGCAGACAGAAAATGTCCCCCACCTAACACTCAGGGCTGAGAAGCATGCATGTAATGTGAAATATCTGAATAAAAGTATTTTCTTTGATCCACATACTTCTGTGCCCTTTCTGTGTTTGTGCTTCTTCAGCAAAAGGGGTTGGAAACATTGAATGTTTTATTTTTTTAAATATTTACACTGCAAACACAACATAAAAGCATTTCATCTGAGACTGCAGTCATTCCAGGAATACCAAATTCATATTGGTTCACCGAAATTGTAGGCTTTAAGACCAATGGGCTGAATCTCCAGCGTATTCTTCCGCCATGAACTGGAGTGACAGCGGAGTTTAACCCTGTTTTTGAAATTGCTTGTGATTTCAAAAACTCACCAGGAAGTACTGCAAAGTTTTGCTCTTGCTAATGAACCACATTTTGTGGAGCTTTCTATAAAATGAGAAGAAATTAAATAAAAACAAACAAACAAAAACCCACTTCAATGGTTCAGCTCTGAATTGGTATCAGAAAAGTCAGCCATAGTCTGATTAAATGTGAGTTATCTGGTTTTCTTTTCATTATCTTGGTTTCTTAACTACCTTATTTTGCACTTTGTTCTAGACAATGTGCAGGTTTGTGAGACATCATTTCCTGAAGCTCCTCTGACTGTGTTTTGGGGCTCAGGGGGACTGACCAGTCTTTCCACTTCTTCGAGTTGCCCTGGCATCACACGCTGTGCCATTGAACATCAGTTTTTGTCTACACCTTGCAAATCACTCACACGTCTGACTTTTGAGATATTGTCTCACGAGAAAGCAAGGAACTGCCAAAGGTATTGTTTATATAACTTATTATACAGACTTTAGCTCAAGTTAAAGAGCTGAGGAGCAGTCTTACCAAATCTGAACTGCTGTCAGAGCCCAGGCTGGGACTTGCAGGCATTTGTATATTTTTACCTGGCGAGGTGATTTTGTAATTGAAATATTGAAGAGTAGGAAGTCATGGTGATGCTACGGGTGAAAGAACCAAAGACAGTCTGATAAATGAACGTGGTTACCAAAGTGAGCCGAGGGAGGCATATAATGTATCCACATTGACACAGTATCCCTGTGTAAAACCCAGAGTAAAGTTACTCTGGAGAATAAAGTAATAAAGAATGAGACCAAAAATGAGACTCTGAGGACCTTTGCAGTGGGTAGGAAGGGCAAAGTATGTGGAGGCCACTGCAGAAAGGAAAAATCACAGAAGAAACAGGGTTTGGTTTCAGTCCAGAGAAAAGATACCACTCCCACAAAAGGTGCTCCAAAAAATGTAAGCTGATAATAAACACTCCCAGAGATCAGAGTAGGAGGAAAGCAAAGCTGTGTTTCCTGAAATGCAGTCAGTCACTGGCTGTCTAGATCAGGCTTCATGTGGAGCAGCAGGTGGAGGAAATCAAAGAGGTAATGGTATTTTAATGTCCCCAGTTCATTTTTCACATGCAGTACAAGAATCTGTCACTTGCATTGTTAAATGCACTGAAAGTTAAAGTTTCAGCTTCTTTTCCTTCAAAAAGGTGATTCATAGAGTTCTGCTGTGCCAAGACAAACTCTTTTATTCTCCCCCATCAAGCGTTTCACTTTTCCTGCCGTGTACCCTGCAGGAAACCAGAGAATTATTGGGACTGCCACAATTTCTCTGTTAGGATCAATCCATTTCTATTACTTCTTTTTGTAAACTTTAATTGTTATCCCCTTTTCTGTATTACTCAGTCAAAAATAATTTTAAAAGAAGTTACAAAAAAGAGAACACAACACTTTCAGAAAGTGAAAAACAATGCATTTCCCACATACCCCATGGGAAATACCAACCACTGCAGTTCTCAGTTACTGAGAGATACACAGTGTGCTCTTGACTGCAGCATCTGCTGGTGTTAAAGAGATCCACATAAAGAAGAAAACATGTCTTCCTGGTCATGGGCAATCAAATGAGAGAAATTCACCCCAAATTATTTACTGCCATACATAAGGAAACATATATGCAGTGAAACAGGAATAATATGTAGTGCCAAAGAATAGAATGCTGTAAAAGGAGTTTTCAGATCAATACAATATTTGCACAGGATGTTGAATTTCACTTTAGAGGATAAGTTAAGTTTTCTCAATCAACATTTTTTTTTTTTTTTTTAACAAAAAAATAAACAAAAAAAAAAAAAAGGATGAAATGCTATAAGGTATAATGATAAACAGGCTACTTCACATAGTAATGTGACATGCCAGGATCATCATCCATAAATGCATAACCAGCTATTTCCTGAAGATTATACACCCAGACTACTGCTTAATGAATGTCCTGGTTTCTGTGAAAAAAAGCAACAGAAGTAATCAATTATCTCCTGGTTAAGTAAGATAAATGTTCTGTAGAGAGGGACTGAGCTCTCTGAAGACATACATGCTTGTGGGTGTGTGTCTATGTGTTTACATATAGTGCTATGGCTAGCTGCAAGATTACCTCCTACAGAACCAGTTATGCAAGAGGATAAAAAGACTGATATGAACTAGAGCTGAGGTTGTACATTATTTTAATATTAGAAATACGAAAATGCGTAATGAGTTATGAATGCTTATGTCCAGATCACAAACCCTTACAGCCCAAGCTAGTGCCAACACTGCATTGAATAAATGACTAGATATTCCTGGGGAAAGAAAGAGCAAGCTACCATCTGCCATTCCAGATGAGCCCTCTAATTGCTGGCCCACTTGCTTTTAGTCTTTGCCTCTTGCTGGGGTTCTTCCACTTTGTGTGAATGGTTAAATATTTGATAGGTGAGAAAGAGAAAGCCCATAACCTAACCAATGGAGTAGTCACTGAAAAGCTGAGAAGCCGAAGAAGAGATCAGCAGGGTTTTGCACATGCTTTTTGAATAAACATGAATTTTAGCAGATGACTGGGACCAGCCCAAGACAGACCTCTTCTCAAGGCAGGTCACCCCAGAATAGCCGCCTTGTTTCACTCACAATCAAGTCAGGGGACACAGCCCAGGGCACTTTTCTACCTGATTTAAGGTAGTCTGCAGGCCTTATTAGCTACCTGGGATATTTTGCTGCTTTCTTTAAATAAAAATTTCCTGCTGGACCTGAGAAATGTGGCTGTCATGAAATGTCTGTTTCTGCAAAATTAATTTAAGTTGCTACTGGCCTCCTTTGAAGGTGTGCAGAACAGCTCCAATTTACCTTTATACATGCTTTACTACTATTTTGTTATAGTATAAATATATAGGCTGAGGTTGTGACAGTGTATTTCTGTTGTTTCATGAAGAATGCAGTGTTATAATACACCTGTGCATAGGATGATATATTGAGCTACATTTTTTCCAGCTTATAAATATTTATATACTAGAACACAGATATTTACAGCATT